AAAAAAAAAAAAAAAAAAAAAAAAAAAAAAAAAAAAAAAAAAAAAAAAAAAAAATCCAATGAAATGAATGGGCCCATAAATAATTATATTAAAATTCGAGGGAATAATAATGGAATTTGAAGCATTAAAAAAATATATTTAGAAATAAAATAATGTTTAATTGAACCTTATTCTCCGGATACCCATTGGCTGAAGAATTTAATGTCCCCAACGGCTCAATTCAATGCGCGCGTGATAGTCAATCGTGACTGCTCCTCATCCTGCCGTACACGTGTGCAGTACAGTGCCTATTTAATTTATTTATTTTCTTATTACTTTATTTCTTTCAAATAAGAAAAAAAGCCTATTAATATTAAAATATTAATTATTATCTCAACTAAAATAAATAATAAAAAATTAGTAAAGTAGTTAAAAATCATCTTTTGTCTGCCAACTTTATTTATAATAATTTAGTTTACTGTGTTTGTTATAATTTAGTCTCTATGGTAAAAATGAGTGAAGAATATATTAATTATGATTTTTCTTTTTTTACTGATAAGGAATCCCTAACGAGGATTGACAACTCTATCCTATCCTCGTTTCCCTTTCCGACCCTGACACAAATCTCGTAAGCAAGAGGTGTGTCTAGCTACCTCGTAGATAGAACCTACGAGACATTGAGTTATCCTAAAAATAGATGTGTTTTTTTCGTCATCTCTCTCGACCCCTTCATTAGAAAATTTATGATTTTTTTTACCAACAAGGAAACGCAAACGAGGATAGACAACTCTATTCCATTCTCGTTCACCTTTCCGACCCTGACACAGATCTCGTAAGCAAGAGGCGTGTCTAGCTACCTCATAGTTAGAATCCACGAGACACTGAGTTATCCTAAAAATGGATGTGTTTTTTTCGTCATCTCTCTCGACCCTTTCTCTAGAAAATTTATGATTTTTTTTTTTTACCAACAAGGAAACGCTAACGAGGATAGACAACTCTATCCCATCCTCATTCCCCTTTTCGACCCTGACACAAATCTCGTAAGCAAGAGGCATGTCTAGCTACCTCATAGTTAGAATCCACGAGACATTGAGTTATCCTAAAAATGGATGTGTTTTTTCATCATATCTCTCGACCCTTTCACTAGAAAATTTATGGTTTTTTTTTTACCGATAAGGAAACCCTAACGAGGATAGACAACTCTATCCCATTTTTTCCCCTTTCCGACCTTGACACAGATCTTGTAAGCAAGAGGCGTGTCTAGCTACCTCATAAATAAATCCACAGATGCATTTTTTTCCCATCTCTCTCGACCCCGTCACTATAAAAATTGAAATGTCACAAACCGCTCTTTACATTTTTCAAACGTGAAACGATGCTAAAGCAAGACCCGTGACTATGAAACAAAAATGAATAACTTCAAATACTGTATATATACATTAAAATACAGTATATCTACATTAAAATACACTGTATATATACAATATATAACTCCGTATCATCGGATCTGTAAAGGTGAAACAAACTAGGTTAAATTAGGGTTCGTACGTGTAATTTTGTCGTATTAAAAAAAAAAAAACAATTCATCATTTTAGTCCAACATTTATTTTGAAAGTACATTATATTATTTCAATTTGTAGTTATATTTACATGAAAAATCACAGTCTCATTTCACCCACAATTTTTTTAATAAAAAAAAATTGTAATTTCTTATATTTTTCGTCTTTATTATTATTATTTTAATTCTATTTTTGTTATAATTTAAATGTATAATATAGAAGAAAAAAAAAAAAGAAATAAAAAATTGATATATTCATATGTAGGGTCAAATTTATTGGCATTTATCCTCTAAATCAAACATATTTATTTATTTTTTTTCCTTTTTTTTATAATTTGACTTTCTAATTTTAGTTCGATTAATTCTTAAATATTATTGGAGACATGCCCTTTAAATTAATTACTAATTATATAAAAAAAAAATTAAATGGTGATAAAAAAAAGTTAACCATTTATTTTCAAATTATATTTGTTTATTATACATATATATTTAATTTATTTCACTTTTTAAAATCATAGTCAAAATGAGAAAGAGAGGTTTAAAATTTTTAAAATTAAATATAATTATTAAATTAGAGGTGTTCGGGATTGAGTTGGATAGAGTTGAGACATTTTTTAGATTTAACTCAATTGTTCGGGTCATAAAATTGCAAACACAAACAATTCTTATCAAATAATAAACTCCACTTAACTGAACCTTAATTTTTTTAAGTTCGGTTGGTTCGAGTTGTTTGGGTCATTTATTAATTTTTGTTTAAACGGGTAGTTATAAAAACGTCCATTTACTCATTTTCAAATATTTAATTAAAATTTGTAATTTAATTTTAATATACATTTTAAAATATTACCTTCCAAATAGTTAAAAATTAATTTTAAAATCGGTAGGAGAATAATTAATAAATAATTATATATTTTTAAATTAACAATAAATTCGGGCTCGTTAAGTTTAACCTAATCTATATTAGGGTAACTCACGAACCAACCTGATCCATATAGTTTCATTTATATGAACCCAATCCAACCGAACTCAAACAGTACCCTAATCAAAATTTATTATATATTTAAAATAACATTTTAAATCATTTATATAAATTAAAATAGTAAAAATAGGAAATTTTAATTTTTTTTTTGTTTATTTATTTATTATTTTTATTACATGAAATTCAAATCTACTATCAATAAAAAAAAATTATATTTATATTTTTTTAATTCAACACTTTACATTTAAATTTCTAATATTTTAATGTATTATAAAACAATTCCGATAATTTGAATATAATTTATTGGTCTTAATATAATCAATATATATATTAAATATTGAAAAAGTATTTTAATAATAAAAAAATTATATTTTTATTTTAATTTGTTATTATTATTATTATTTTCGTAATTAAATAATTTTTTTATAGCAAATTTACATCAAAGGTAAAATACCAAAAAAAGAACAAAAAAAAAAAAGAAAAAGAAAAAAAAAAGTGGAACCCATGTAATAAAAGCGTGCGGTTTCTCTTTGATATATCTGTGTCGCTTTGGGAAGAGGAAAATTAAAATTTACAAAAATAGAGAAATTAATAAATAAAAATAAATAAAATAAATAAAGGAGAGGAGGACCAAGTGCTGGCTTGCGAGTTACTCGGTTAGTGGGCGCTTTTCTCCTTCTTCTCCGCCCCTAAGCCCCCATTATATAGCACACCACAACTCAAACATCGGGGGACCGAACTGGATTTCTCTTCAAATGCTTCTTTTTTGATCGCAGTCAATAGCAATTCACGACTGTTGCTCTTGTTTTACTGTTCTAGCCATGGATGATTGCGCCAAAAACAAGTAAGATCCCGGTTCTTCTGCTCTATCTGTTTGTTTAT